CACTGATAGCCCGTTGCAGCCACCGTCGTTCCCCGTTCCCCGTCCCACACATGCGCACAACTGTGCTACTGCCGGTTTGCTGCACAATGTGTGATTGGCTGCCGGAGAATGGAGCATGGAGCCGCCATGGCACATTGGATTGAGGAAAGATGATTGCGTTTAACCCCTGTTGATTTATACCCTTACTCCTACAGTTGTGCCTTATTTATTTAGTGTGTGTGTGCTCCATAATTGTGTAAATATTGTGTAATTTACACAATTGTGTAAATTAAAAAATTCTTTAATTTGGGCTAATAATCTGTGTTGTCCTCTGACCACATAGTCTTCCCTGCTCTGTACAATACCAAAGGGAGGGGGTACCCAGGGAAGCAAGGAAAGGCCAGACCCTTGGGTTGCCAACTTTCCAGGGATGATGATGATGATGATGATGATGATGATGATGATGATACTTTCCATTTATTAATCGCTTTCCCCAGTGGGCTCAAAGCAATTTACAGTTACTCAATATAGACAAGGGACTAACAATGTTTGTAGGGGATAGGGAAGACAACATATATTCATTTTTAATTGCACGCGCCGTCACTGCCCGGTATAGACGTCTTCTGGCTTGGCTCCGTCGTTTTCCGCACGGCTGCTTGTTGGCCAGGCTTCAGGACCCGTATGTCAATCGTCACACTGCCACCGCCTGGCCGGAACATCCATTGCAGGGATTCTTTTGTAGCCGAGAAGCTATTTCGCCTTCCAAGTCTCGACCAGGATGTCCGACCGTCAGCTAACACCCTCCCACAAGGAGTGGTTCCCATTTTATCTAATACCCTCCTCTCTCTAACCGTCAGCTAACACCCTCCTCTCTCTAAGGAGTGGTTCCCATTTTATCTACTCGCCGAACCTTTCGAATCGCTGGGTGGACGATGAGCTGGGGACAACAGGCTGGCTGCTCACACCAGCGCGGGGCTTGAACTAACACAGTTCGGATGTTAAGACAGTGGGATATACCCACTGTGCCACCGCTCCCCTGTGGTGGGTTTCTAACGCTGGGTCAGGAAATCCTTGGAGATTTGGTAGAGTAGAGCTTGGGGAGAATGGGGTATGGGGAGGTGAGAGACCTCAGCAGGGTATAATGCCGTAGAAACCACCCTCCAAAGCAGCCCTTTTATCCAAGGGAAATGGTCTCTGTTGTAATCTAGAGATTACTTGTAAGAGCAGGAGATCTCTAGGCCTCCCCTGGAGGCTGGCAACCCTAGGTGGAAGTGAGGATTTGTGAAGAAGTTTCGCAACCTCTCCCTCTTACCTTGTTCTTATTCCATTGGACAACTGTTTGTAGATGCTTTTTCCCCCCAGTCTGAAATAGGATTGCCTGGTAATTCTGACAAGCAGGCAGGGGGCTCTGGGAAAGGGGAGGGAGGCTCCGGGAGAGCAAGTTCCAGGTGAGCTTCCGATGCATTTAAAGGGACCCGCATTCCTTTTAAATGCTTTCCCTCCATTATAAATAAAGGAGGATGGGGGCACCTTCTTCCGGGGCTCATAGAATTGGACTCCATGGTCCAATCTTTTTGAAACTTGGGGGGGGGGGGTTGAGGGCATGGACCAG